TGATGTTTAGTGTCTTTTATAACAATATGAACTGACCGTGGCTCCGTACAGAAATAACTTTACACACTTTAAAACAAATGTTTTGGCTCACAAAAATTAACAGTTTGCCTTCATCTTTTCCTCTACAATCAACGGTATTTTTTAATTACTTTATATTTAATTTGTTATTTCAAATTTTCCCTGTAATCTATTATAACAATGTTTGAGTTAAAATAACTAATCACATTACAGTGCACTCATAAAAAACTTAAAAATAAAAAGTATTTTCCACATTATGTCAACACAACTTAAAGGTTTATTTAAATGATTTAATTAGAATGTCAATCTTACAACATTTTTAATTAAGTGGTGATAAGAGCTCTGGTTGACCTTCTTTCTGTTGCTGATCGTGTTTAATAATTATGTTGATCAAACTGAGTTAATAACCTCCCATCGAATATCTTTGGTGTTTCAGTTACCAGAACATTTCAAAGAAAATGACAACGAAGCATCGAAGCATCTCAGACTGACATAAGTTCTGTAGGAGCTTTATTTTGAGCTGCTTATGATGTTTTTATATGGACGTGTGAGAAATGTTTTTAAGACTTGAATAATGTGAACCTTTAATCCTGAGGTTGAGAATCAATTATAGATCTGAGTTCACTATTTATGACTTAAAATCATTACTGTATGATATCACTGCAACCATAAGTAATCCAATCTCTTAATATTTAGCAACTGAACACTATATACTGTGAAATCTAATCGCTAATGAATAATTAAAGTGGCTATAACCGCTATGTATCAAATGACAATGTGAAAGAGGTCACTCGTTGAATCACTCAGCTTTACGGAGCTTTAGAGTGAGTTTCAGCTTCATGGTTTATCTGTTTCACTGTTTGTCTCACAGCGTCATTTTCAGAAAGCCACCGTATACGACCTGCTCATCAGCCAACAGTGAACATCGGGGGAGCATTTAGCAGCTAAAGAGCCAGATATTCCCTCAGGAGCTAAAACAGAGTTAATATTGGACTAGTTTGCTGCCCCCAAGTGGCCAAAAAGCTCAGTTACTGCAGGTTTAATGTTTTATTTCATTTAAAGGTTTCATATATAACATTCAGTTGCCACTAGACGTCCCACATCAAGTATCACCTGACAGACACTTTTTAGTATAAAAAGCCTATAAAGAGGTAAAATACAGCGGTGCCCCACCAGTGTCTGATTTATATAAGAAAAACACTTTAATGCTTCAAAGGTTTCAAAATTCAAAGTCAGCATTGTTTTTGCATTGAACTGCATCTTTTTGATGAGTTGAAACATGAGCTTGTTTGAGGCAGTTAACTCTTACATTGAAAGAAGAATATTGAATAGAAAATTTGGTTTGTGGAACTTACATTAACTTTTTATTCTTATTTTTGAACTTCTAGTATAATTGTTTTAGGAAATATGCATGGCTGACCCAAAATTCCCCCGGGCACGGCTTCATAACGCTGGGGTTTGGCGTCTTCAAATCCCACAGAGAGCGTTTCATAAGCGGAGCGTCTTCAGAGCGTGTTGCTAAAAATATACAGAAATATATAAATAAATATGTAAATAAGTAAATAATAAATATACAAATAGATATAAATGAATAAAAGAAATACAAACACAAATGTAGCATTTATGTCTCATTTAATTAGTGTTTTATTTATGTATTTGAGATTTTTATTATATATCTTTCATGATTCTTATATTTAGTTTCAACCCTTAAAGCCTTCCATACATGCAAATTCCTCGTTTTATTCACACCCTCCTCCAGTTATTGTGTTCACTGTTTGGGTTCATTGTTCAGTTTATCAGCTGTTCTCTGCTGTTATTGTTATTATTCAATATAATATGAAATATAAATAAAATATAGTCAGTTAACTCGATGATAGAAAGCAGCTCCCTTAAGGAAAAAGGTTGGGAACCGCTGCAATAGAGCACTATTTCCTTCGTCCTATCCCCCCCCCCAGGACAGAAACTGGAAGCAAACACACAGTAAATGTTTCTTTGAGGAAAAGGAAGAGGACATGAGTTGTGTGCAGTTTCTCTCGTGTTTACGCTCCGTCTTTTCTCCCCCGTCGGCCCGTCTGGATGTGTCAGCAGCCGAGAGTTACAAGTGAAAAATCATGCAGAGAAGGGGCGAAACAGCTGTTGTAGCACAGCGTCTAATGAGGTGTGTGTGTTACTTCCTTCAACCCATGAAACCACAGACAGACAGACAGACAGACAGGCAGACAGACAGAAATTCTCTGGTTCCGTCTGTCTGAATTGCTGCTTTTTTTATAAATTGATATCACTGAATCATTGATAACCTTTTGTCATGCATTATAGACAGGCTGAGAGAGAGGCTGAGAGTTTGAAGCCTGTTATACAAATATATATATATATATATATATATATTCTTTTACATGAAGCTGCTGCTACAGATGAAAGCAAAGTGGGGCCCAGCCAGCTCAGATGTGTGCTACAGACAGTTCTGGTGACTCTGTGTAAAAGA